AAAAAAAAAAAAAGAAAAAAAAAGTCACGCGTGGTTACGTGATTACTTCTCAGCGTGAGCGGCACCGTACCCAAACAATCCGAGTATATGATAAATGTATAGTAACGAAAAAAAGGAAAAAAAAGAACGAGTGGGATTCTCCCTCCTCTCATTCAAATCCCACTATGATAACCCATAAACCAGCATGATGTTGGTTTACATTCCTCCCCTCATAACTCGAATCCCAACGCTGATGATAACACGAAATGCCCAAAACAGAAACAAAACAAAAACAAAATGCAGCTCAACTCGCTCGCTCGCTTGAACAGAACAACAAAAAAAGCATTTGAAGGCCGCCCAATTTCCTCTTGTCCCCATCTTAAAATTACTGTTTTTATTTTCCTGTATTTACCCCTCTCTCCCTCTTTCGCCTTGTTGCCTGCTTCCCATCATATCATGAGATCGAATGCGTGGAGGTGAAAGAAAAAGGAAAAAAAACATAAAAACGTAAATGTAAGAATCATGATGTTCAAAAACAAAGTAGAAACATTGGATAGTGAAGGGGGAAAAAACAAAACCAAGATATCCTCCCTGGCTTGCCAAAATGTGATGCTAAAACAAAACATGCATCTCATCATACCCCAACATAGTAATTCCAAAAACAAAAGTCACCTTGAAGACACCCATGATATCATCCTCATGTATCCCATCCATCTTGAAGCCCATCATCATAATCATAAACACCCTACTCCAATCCCAATCCCAATCCCAACCCACATATCCCCCCTCTTCCTAATCCAACTCCAGTCCCAACCCAACCCAACCCTAACCGCCTGCCAAAAAAAGAAGAAAAAAAGAAATCCCCCCCCCCCCCCCCAGAAATCACATATGCTGCCCATGATGCATCAATCCCCCCTCAAACAACCCCCCCAGCACCTCCCCAGGTAAAGTCTCCAACCAAGGCGGCATCATCAAATCGCTCTGCAGCCCCAACATATCAAAATTCACTTCAAAGCTATTCGAAGTAATCGCCTCGCTTATCGGATTAATCTCCAAGTACCCGTACCCCCCTCCCCCTCCTCCTCCTCCTCCTCCTCCTCCTCCTCCCCCTGAAACCAACCCACCATGACTAAAATCTGTCTCGTACTCGTTATGACCTACGCTGTTATCGTCGTGATGGTTGTCGTGGTGATTCCCGTGATGATGGTCGTGGGAATTGTGCTGGTAGTGGTGCAAACCGGAATCTGTCGGGGTTGTGGAAGGGGACCCCTCGTGCGCGGTCGAGGTTTTGTAGCTTGAGGTGTTGGAGGAGTGGTGGTGGTGGTGGTGGTGGTGGTGGGTGGTGGTGGAAGAGGAGGAGGAGGCGTAGGAGGGGATGTGGTGGTGGTTCTGGTTGTTGTTGTTGTTGTTGTTGTTGTTGTTGTTGTTGTTGTTGTTGTTGTTGTTGTTGTTGTTGTTGTTGTTGTTGTTGTTGTTGTTGTGGCTGGTCTGATGATGCGTGGGGTGGTGGTTCTGCCTCTGATGTCTGTCTGCGGGTGGGGGTGTTTGCAGGTCTAAGTCGACAGAGGGGGAGGATTCGTATTTTAGTAGGGACTTGCCCATTGCCGGCGATTGTGGTAACCTGGACAGTTTGGGGGTTCTCGACTGGTAGCGCAGAGCCGAAATATTGGCTTGGGGATAGGCCGGCGGGAGCATAGCAGATGGAGTGTCTGGAAGGCTTTGCCGGACGGGATCATATGTCATGTTCCCAGGAGGTGTTGCGGCAGACACGGGAACCGAGAGAGGTGGAGGTGGCGGTATGGGCTGAAGTGTGGTATTTGCTGGATTCTGGAACAAGACCGTCAGGTTCGAGTTTGGCGAGTTTGTGGTCCCAGTAAGAGAGTATGCGATGGGTGGAACGTTGGGCGAGGCGGGATGCTCAAATCGCGGCAAGCGTTCCAGTGAACGACGACGGGCCAGCGTGATGGGTTCGTATTCCTCCTTTGTGAACGTCTCGCAGTCCCAGATGCCCTTTGATTTTTGGTCCAGGGCGTTGAGAATGTAACCGACGCCCGCCCAGTACTGCTGCAGTTGCTGGAGAGACTTGTAACACCGCGTGTAGTTCGAATTGGCAGCAGAGACAAGGAGTGAGTGTTTCTGTCGGGGGTCAATAGATGGGCCCAATTTCCCAGGGATGCCTTTGAAAAAGCGAGACTTGGCTTCTGGAGAAGGTGATGGCTCTCGCGAAGGGGGGTGTGACGCATTCGCTCCAGATTCCATCAAGAAGGCACATGCAGCGATGTAAATTGGCTGGGATGTGAACGGGTTCCCGATAAAACTCTTTGGGTCGATCAGGTCGGCAAAGGCGAGGATGTCAGCAATGGTTTTGGCACTCGACATGGAGAGCTCCCGGCTGTTCGGCAGCAACTGAGTCGGTCTGAGGCTGTAAAACGGAGTCAACAGCGTCGGCTGATGAAGGACAACGATCAGAGCGTGGAACCAAAAGTGCAGCAGAATAAAGATGGTGCCTTTTCCTGCCTCGACATACTTTCGAAAGTTGGCAGGGTCAAAATGGAGCCGCGAATCCTGCTTCTTGTAAATGTGGCTCAAGTCAATCTCCATCTGTGCAAGCTTCTGCATCTTCTCCTCGGTGAGGTCGTTGGCATCCCGGATATTGTTCAAAACATCCGACACTCTGCCGTACAGGTGGATGATCTCGATGAACGGCGGGAAGGGGTCGGGCCAGCCCGAGACCGGATCGATGGCGTGCTCCGGAAGAGACAGCTCAAAGTCGTCGTCACGGAACGTGACTGGACGTCCTGTTCCCGACGATATGACACGGTCCAGAACAAAGACAGCCCAAAAGGTATCCATGCGCTCCTGTTCCACCTCGCGCTGCTCGTGCGGCCCCAAAACCTCTTCGTCGTTTCGCTTTCCCTCGGGTTCATCGGATCCATCGTTGCTTTTCCGGCTCCAGCTTCTCGTGTACCAAGGATCTCGTTCACCTTGGTACTTGACACCTTCCAGCTTCTGAAGACCGAGATCGACCGCCATCCTGATGGCCAGGCCCAAATACATCCAGAGAGCGCTGTCCTGGTTTGCCCCGAACCCTTCGTATGCCATCAAAAGACAGGCCTGCACAGCAGCAACGGATGGGCATGGGAAAGTGTCCACCGTGGCCGCTTTGGCACGCCGAGCGAACACCTGCCCGAACTCTGATCTCTTTTCTTTTCCGTCATGTGGGTTGATGAAGATGGGGTCGTCAGAAAAGCGAGCTGCCAAAGCGCACATTGCATCTACCAAGATGGGCTCCAGTCTCTTTTCCTTGAGCATGCGCAGGGTCCTATCCTTTCGCATAAACTGATAGTTGCAACCAAGGTGAGTGAAGAAGGTTATGGCGAGGTTGAGGATCAAAGGGTGAACCGGATTCGAATCGTTCACGTCATAAACCGGAATGTCTTCGAGACTGTCGAACTCGGTTCCCGGGTTGGTGAAATGGTGCTGCCCTGCACCGCACCCGTACAATGACCCTGGTGATGTTGTCGAGAAGGAACTGCCCCGACTCTTGCGCCTATCACGATGAATCTCGCGCGAGATGTCCACCACCATCTGCTTGAAGCCTGGGACGATGGCAGTCGGCCCAAAATACCTAAAGTAGGGCACCCGGTGACTTTCGTGCTGATGCTGATGCTGATGCTCAACAGGCGACCGGTTACTCGAGCTCCGGTTATTCGATTTCTGAGAGTTATCGTCCTGATCCCAATCATTGCTGTGTTTCCGCCGCCGGCCAGACGTCACAGTAGCCGTTGATACCGAGTCCTGTCTAGAAAGCGCATCCGCATCCACAAAGCCCGCCATACGTGGCTTCTGCTGTGGTTGTTGTTGTTGTTGTTGTTGCTGCTGCTGTTGTTGTTGCGAATGTGACTGTGACTGACTCTTCCAAAATCGTTGGTCCCCCTTTTTATTCCCATCGTTGGCGTAGTTATCCTCACCACGGTTCTGCCACATCTGCTGAGGCTCCATCTTGACCTCCACGTTCTCACCGTTCAGGTAGTTCTCCTCATGCTCGTGCTTTGTGTAGTCGTCCCCATAATCCTGTGCATCTGACGGCCCTCCATTTGCTGGCCTCTTCTTCTCATCCAAATCGTTGTAGCCGAGACAAGTGTGGCCATTTTTGGCACATGTCGAACACACCGGTCTCTCGCCCGCGCACCGGGTTTTCCTTTTGCGACATGTCAAGCATCTAGGAATATTTTTAGAGCTGGTCCAGCGGTACAGAGAGAGAGAAAGAGAGGGAGAGAGATAGACGAAAAAAAAAAGAAAGAAAAGAAAAACCACATACGCAGCATTGATCCTCCGTCTCTTGGAAGGGGGCTGGCCATGGTTGTTGACCCATTTGTGTTCCTTGATAAAGGTGGTCATCTCGGCGCTCCTTTATAGCGAGAACATGACGGACTGGCAGGGCAGTCTTGAACGAGCTCAGTCAGTCGTGAGCTCTCAGCGGGGGTGGGAGATGGCGGATGAGGCGGTCGGCACACACGAAGAGAGGGGGACGCGGATCGGGCGGCAGATGTTAGCTGGTGTCGGGTGTGGTGACTGGTGTTGAAACTCGGCTTGGCGGTGATGTGTGTGTGGTGCAAAAGTGCGTCGGGATTCTTTGGGGGGGGGGGGGGTGGGCAGCAGCTGGCGATCAACAGGGGCACAACAACGACGTGGTCATAATGCGAACGACGGACGGAGGATCTTGGGGGTAGTCATGGTTTCGGGCAGTTTTGGGAAATGAGGCAGAAGGTGTAGGTAGATAAGGTGAAGGTACACGTTATGCGACCCAAATCAGCTCCCTCTCTCCAGCTCTCTAACGTCCAAGTGTTCCTCGTTTTGTTGGCTCTCACGTGTGGGGACCCACGATAGATAGATAGCACGCGCAATGCGGCTGAGTTGCAGCACAGGCACAACAAGAGGTACCTGCTAACAAATCTCGGTCATAAAACAGGAGGAAAGAGGGTGTCAGAGATCAACCGTTGCAGAAGAGGAAAAAAGTCGGGGAAAGAGGTAGAAGGGGAACGGGAACGAGAGGCACGACAGCCGATGGGACATGGGACATGGGACATGGATGGACGATGGATGGACATGGGGGGAGGGGCGAGGACGGTCAAGCTTCGCAATTGGACCAGCTTCCAGCTGTGTCAGGCTGTGTGTGTCTCTTTGAGCCTAACAAATAACACAGCGGGAAAGTGGGCGAGCTAGAGAATACCCAGATGCAATAGCTTCGCTTCCCATCCTCTCACCACACCAAGACACAACCTACACCACCAGGACCAGGCAGGGCCCATGGGGGTACCGCGGCTGTTTATCAATCTCCAAGATGATTTTGTCAAAAGATGTCAGTGTGAGTCCGGCCGAGGTGCGCCGGGGAAGCAGCGAGATGTCGGTCGAGATGTGGCTCCAATGCGACGGTCCAATAGCATGGATCACTCTCTCTTCAATAACGAGCGTCTTCCGGCACTTTATGGTGACACGCTTGCTGTGCTGACAAGACGCCAACGGACCGGGACAGCTGAGTTCGACCGAGTCTTCCGAGCCGACACCACTCGGAGACTGCCAGCGATGATCTCTATCTTTTTGTTTTTATATCCATAGCCCGAATTCATCTGAAATCCAATGTTGTCTGTGAGTTGACACTTGATCCGTGCGCAGGGCAGCGGGGCTTCCCGAGGCTCCCGAGAGTGGGGCATTGACCCTGCCCTATGTCTCGAATTCTTGGGACAACCAGCAACAACGGAGATTGTCCAAGCAGAGGCATGGCTCGATACTGCGACGACAACGGACTCTTGGATAGGAAGAAAAAGAAGTGATATTCTTCTGGGTTTAGGCTAGTGGGTAGCGGCAGGTGCACACTATCGTCCCATGATTGCAACGCTGCACCGCTAGCCCCCTGTCGACTCGTCTGCGCGCGGAAGGGGATCGTGGACTTTCCGGCCCGGACAACCTTTTCTACAGAAATCTCACGAACAGTCGAAGCCGTCCCGTCACTCTCATCTCGCCACCAGCCCTTCGATCAACATTCAGCACGCCGGCCGTTCTCCCCGACCCCTCCCTCATCCTGTATGCGAGCCATCAGTGTCGTCTCGCAGCTTGCAGCTTGACATTCAACATCCAACACGCCGCCAAGCAACCTGCACCAGGACAAGTTGGGAAGCACGCCTTCACCCACCCAACAACCTTCCCTTTTCCCCCCCTTCCCTCCTTCTCAGCCTCTGTCTTGCCTTATCTGTTCTCTCTCGATCAGTGTCACCATAATGTCTTGCCTACGCCTCATGCTCCCCACGACCACTCATCACATCACCGTGATAAGCCAGGTCTGTTCCAGATCAAAAAGGAAGTTGGGAAATGAAGAACTTGGACGTTCCATAGAAAATGTTCAGTAGACCAAAGGCAGACCAACATCCCTGTGCTCTGGAACCCCGCGTTTTGGGGGATGGATGGGGCCCTCTCCAAAAAAAGGCTGGGGAATTTCCAGAAACACCAAGCCCAAATCGGCTTAGTCTCACACGGCAGCTTCCGGATAGCCATCACCGATTGAAAATTGACAGATCAAACTTCAAGCCTTGCTTCGTCGTCCGAGCTGTACGACACAAGATATCGGACTCAATTGCCAGCCTCGTCTGCTTTTGGACATGTACCATCTCAGCAAAAAGCAGTTCTTTTTGATCCTTGGGCTTGCATTCGATCTGATGCCTCGCCGGTCTCGTCATCATGCAGACATACGAACACTACCCCGCATCCCAATCTACAATTTCCAGACTTTTTGTAGACTGTGAGGGGGAACCAGCACTGCAAACTATCATCATAGAATAACTAAACTGGCCGACAGGCACCAAGGCGAGAATATAGCCTAAACAATATTTCCTGATTCCTCTCCCGCTGTCTTTGTTCTCTGTCTCTGGTTGGAAGTCTCAAGATCATGTATATTTTCTACTTTGTAAACCGAGCAACTTCGCTCTCGAACATCGCCAACATAATCTGTATATCATGACACCACCACTACCACCACCACTACTACCACCACTACGACAACAGACAGCTTTCGCTACGCCACATACCACTAGCCACGCATACCATCATCTATTTGCTAGGCGAAGTCCTTTCGGCGAGATTTGGTAAACGAATACGCGCAGTAGGCCGTGTCTCGCTTCGATCCATAATGGGGTGATATCGTCATTGCTACCTCCTACTAATGTAGCAAAAGTGGATTGTGATCTTCTTGTCTTCAGCGAACTGGTCTCTCTCGCAAGCATGGTACATTTGCCAAAAAAAAAAGGAAAAAAGCCAAGAGCTTGTCAGAACACTTTGAACATGAAACATTAAACTTCTTCAAACAATCTGGCATCACCCCCCAAAGATTTCATAGCACAGAATAGCCATCAATAACCGCCATCCTAACCCCCCCATGAGCTACCTAGCTACCTATCCTAATCTTCCAAACCTTCCTCATTCCAAAAGGATGAAAATAATACATATACAAATGTTTTTACCGCGTGGCATTCTTCTTTCTTTCTTTCTTTCTTTCTTTCTTTCTTTCTTTCTTTCTTGTTTGTTACTTTCCCCACCCTTTCATCATCATCCATCATAACTCGAAAAAAATGGAAAAAAAAAATTGGGAACGCAGAGATCTAAATGCCACACCACACCTAATCACAACCCCCTTCTTCATCGACACAAACATCCCATGCTCCAAACACGCGCCAGAAAAAAAGCAAAATGACACACACAACAAATGCCCCTACGCTTACTTCGCTTCTGATGATAACCCTCTCTCTCTCTCTCTCGTATATATGACAACCAACATGACACATTTGTCCCCAAAACTTCCAAGTCCATCCCAATACTAATAATATTATATAACCCCCTCCGCCCTTCCCTCACTACGGCATGGGAAACCCCAACCCCATGCTCCCAATCCCCTGCACACTCAGCGGCAAGCTAAACTTCCTCAACACCTCCGGGTAGTCCCCCGCCATCTTCTTATTTGGCTTCTTCTCCTCCACCGTCCCCAAGCTGTGCGGTCTCGCCTTACTGCCACCACCACAACCACCAGTTTCTTCCGTCTCTTGTTGCTCCTCCCGGTGCTCCCCCTCTTCATCTGTTGTCGTCGTTGTAGTGGTAGTAGCAGTAGTAGCAGTAGTAGTAGTAGTAGTAGTAGTAGTAGTAGAAGACAACCTCCTCCACCCCCCACTAAACCCCCTCTTCCTCTCCCCAGATTGAAAACAACCGTCACCACCAGGCTGGCGATCGCTCTACTTCGCCAACCAGGGGAACTTTTTCTTCGTGCTGCCCTCCCCCGCCCCCGCAGCCCCGGCCGCGCTGCTGGCCTCGACCTGGATGGATCGTTGATATATATCCTTTTCACAAAAAATTAGTAACCATTATCCACTCCGACAGAGTAAATAAAACTCACCTCCTCATCCCCCATCAACTTCCCATCCAAAATCAACTCCCTCACCTCCCCCCTACTCTCTAACTTCTTACAGTTGATCCTCCTCCCCCCCTTCCCCACAAACGTCTTGCTCCCCTCCTCAGCACTCACCAAATCCCGTCTGTGCAGCGGCATAAACGGGATCCTCGGCAGCGGCGAATTCTCCCACGCCAACCGGTACGCGAAATGGCTCTTCTGCGTCCCCATCAGCAACACCAACCTCGCAAACCTCTTTTGCGTCTCCGCGCTAACAAGCTGCCTCGTCTGCGACAGCCGGTGGATCGCCGTGCCGTTGATCCCCGCCAGCACGGCCGCCAGACCGTTGTAGTTATTCATTTGCCTCAGCTTCAAGGCAATCAGCATAAACTTTTCCAGACACGAAGCCCGGTGCTTGGCTTTATCTCTGATCAAAATCATGTTGGCGACCCATTTGGCAATGTGGTTAAAGTGGGATATCATTCTGTTGACGTTCTTGAGGCTTTTGCACTTTTCTTTTTGTTCTCGGTTCAGCGAGACGTCCCGAACCAAATCCCGGATCCGGATCGAGCTGAACATGACCCAGTCTATCCTTGTGATCTCGTCGGCAATCTCCTCCGTGTCGAGCTCCATGAACTGGTGCCAGCGGAACTTGTTGAGCGCCAATGAGGGCATCGGCACCAGCGTGGCCGCTTCGCGCTCGTAGTCTTCCAGCGTGTGGAATTGATACCGGGCCGTTGTCCGACCATGAATATCTGACCCCGATCTCTCTGAGCTCTGGGAGGGGCGTCGGTGGTGGCTGGAGGGGGGGTTGCTGGGGTCGTCGAGTTGGAGCGAGTTCATCGATCCCGTGATGCCCGTGTGTGGTCGGCTCAGACCTTCAAACATGTTGTCTGTCTCGTCTATTGGGTCTGATTTTCCCCAGCCCGTGTCGTCGTCCTCGACCACCTGGTGTTCCAGGTGAACACGCATCTGCTGGGCAGCCGTGACAAACAGCGGATCCAAAGATAATTCTCCGACCATCTCTTCCAGACTTCGTTTCGTTGCCGGCCTGGCAAAATCCCCAGGATACAACGACACCCACTTCGCCACAGACTCGACCAGCCGCGCCTGAGCCTCCACCTTGATCAGAATGTGCGTCGTCTTGTCTTCCCTCAGCTGGTCGAGACGAGCCCGAATCGAGTTTAGCAGATCGGAAGGCGCGGCAAACTTTCGATATAGGCACAAAAAGATATCGGCAAAGTTTTGGTCCGCCTTTGCCATCTTGGGCGCGACAAGCCTGTCGACAAGGTCGTCGAAACTCACTCCCGCCACCTTGGCTGGCCTGTCCAAAAAGTTCTCATCGTTGCGCTGCAGTATTGGTATGTCGTCCGAATACCGATACGATTCTCCGTCGGATTCAGACACATCCAAGAACGACTCGGCGCCGCTGTCCAGTCGAATGCCCGGTTGACGAAGCATGGCTGACACTGTCGTTTGCGGGCCGTCTTCGGGAACGGCCAAGCCCAAATTTGAGTTGCTGTGCTGAGCAACAGAAGAATAGTCTAGTCTGGGCGACCTCGAAGTCTGGGGCCTGTAGTGACTTTCGTTTGGGGGCGGTGGGAAACCCCGCAAGAGTGACAGGTCGGAGCTTGCCCTGCTGTGTTTACTGTGTTGGCTGATTGGCCGTCCGTTGATCATTTCTTGAGGGGTATCCAGACTCGCCGAGGCAGCGCGTCTTCTGGTCATCGATCCTTCCGGTTGTTCTCCTGCTCCCCCGTCAGTCTCCCGGCTTTACCACCACTGCAGCGATAATATTCTCACCTCGCTTGTTAGCCAACGCGGCCTTTAAAGCAGCCTGGAGACAATCCTGAGCGCTTCCCGGCACGTTGAAAGACGTTCTGAAGTGACCGGCACAGGTGGGAAAGGCAGAAGCAACATCTGCCACGTCGATCTGGCGGGCTTCGTCGGGGGCGTCGCATTTTGTGGCGGCGAGAACCGTCGGCAGGGAAGAGTTGGCCAGCGCAGCCATGGTGGAATCCAGCCCTCGCACGCTCTCCTTGTTGGTAACGTCGTACAGGATCAGGGCGCCATCTATTCGTGGCACCATGTGACCGGCGACCTGCTTCGGCCACTGTATTGGTTGTCGGGGGTCCAGTTCGAAACCCTCAAGATCGAGCTCGACCAGGGTGACTGAGTACTGCGTCCCGTCGAGCACATGCCTGAATGTGATCATGTTCTGTGTCGGCGGTCGCGTGGAACGTATCGTTCGCTGGACAAAAGCCGACTTCCCCACGCCTTCGACGCCGATAATGGCGATGTTGATGGCCTCCATGGCTGGTTTGTTGCGATCGAACTGAGAGGTCCAATTGTCAGCGTACATCCATCGTGACCGCCAGAAGGAGCTCTTGTCCATGTTTCTTCTTGAGACTCTTATCAGGTAGTTAGATGACGGCGTACCCAAGGTGTAGGACCTATGTCTTTCAGTGAATCTTTCCTTGGGGGAATCCACGGCTGGCGCTCTTCATTGCGGTGGCCGGCACTCGTCGTTAGCGCGCCAGGGATGCCGGGGGTGGCTGTGGCAGCAGCAGCAGCAGCAGCAGCAGAGGTAGTATTCGCGGCGGTGCTGTGGTAGCCAAAGAAAAACGGGTCGTCAACAATCGAAGCGACCGAGTCTCGCGGACCACCCTCCTCGGCGGTCGTCGTCGTCGTCGTCGTCGTCGTCGTCGGTGGCGGTGGTGGCTCGTCGAGGATGAGAAAGCTTCTCTGAGAGCCAAAGTCAGGAAACGGGAGTCCCCCGGAGCGGTCTGATGAGGGTGGATGAGTGTGAGCCCGCATTGCTTCTTCGCATGACGAAGGTGGACAAAAAGGGCATACCAGTGACTTTCGCGATCTCAAGTCGCCAGCAGCCGCAAGCCGGACAAGACGGGAACAGGAACAGGGAAAACGGAGCCGGGAGGCAAAGGAGGGCTTCTTATTATCGAGGCGCAAACAAATCAGATGGAGGATGTCTCTTGTGTCGTTCTCGTTCGTCGGTCGGGTCGGGGTCTGGATGGGGCTCCTTGTCAGGGTCCTCTCTTTGGGGCACTTGTTGGGGTCCTTTGGGGTGAGAGCGAGTCCCACGAAGCCAGGGCGGAGGCGGCGGGAGTAGGAGCAGGGCACAGCTCTTTGGGAGCAAACGCCGTGATCTTGGCAGGCTGCCGACCCGAAACAGTGCTTGGCTCAGTCCGTAGCGTCGCAGCTAGCAACGGTCGCTTCCGAAAGGGTCGGATTGTAAGCAGAAGCGGTGATAGATTCAGACAGGTACCGAGTCTTTTTGAGCTCAAGCTATACTATACACTGCCGAGTATTATCGTAGCTAAGGTAGCTTTCTTTGCTTCAAGTAATAGCCAAAAGCTGTCCCCCTGCCCGTTAGGTGTCCCGTCAGCGGGGCCATCTGCCATTTCAGAGCACTGTCTGTCACCCACTCACTCACTGCCTGCCTCCCCCCTGCAGACGGTGCTTGGCTGCTGTCGTCTTTGACCTCTTGATCCATGGTACCAAGCACGGTGATGGCCCTCTGGATAACCTGGAAGCCAACTGGCAATTGAGTTTCCAACGGGACTTTTGACGGACCTGGTGGGGTTTGCGCCCGGTGCTTGTCGGTGGAAGGGCACGGCCCGGCGACTGATCAGCGTCGAGGTCAACTGCCAGCAAACACCCATTGATGGGTTGTTGAGTTGTTTGCTTGTCGATATGATACTGACTTTAAGATCCTGCTGTGGTTGTTAGTCAGCGGACTGGTCGCAACAATCTCCATGCATATCATAGCAAAGGGGAGATCTGATAAGATCAAAAACTGGGGCCGGCACTGGACCTTCGCTTCGAACAATTTGCTTTTTGCTTCCAAACGACAGAGACACAACATATGGCGCGGTTACACAAATCATGCAGCCGAGTGCTATCGTATCAATTTCTTAGGAGACTTAACTCGACTTTGTTAACCTCTTGAGTCCCCCTCTTGACTCTCAACAACGGCCTCCAACCACCATCGCAAAGCACCCCCCACGCAACCCAACATTGAACAGTCGCTATCAAATCCAATTTCCCATTCGGCGTGGCAGCTCTCTGTTTGGGCGCAGCTGAGCTCAGGGGCTCTTCAAAGTTCAAAAGTCTTGTTGGATGGCAATATTGGAAATCTCACCTTCAAGTGTCAGAAACTCCCGCGAAGCGTCACTCCAACCCTCTGCCGCCGCACTGCTGCCGCTTGTCCCGGATCACGAAGGGACAATCCCATGCGTGGCATCCTGACAGTGTCCATCATAGGTTTCACAGCAAATCTCACCGGTGAAAACTGTCTCTGTTTTGTCTCTTGTCAACACTCAGATCCGGACGAACCGTGGGTCCGGTCTTTTTTCCCCGGACCCTTCCGGCCCTTGTGGATGACCGGCAGGCCCGCCCCGCTCCCATCTGGGGATCTGGGGTTCTGACAGGGATCGTCACCACCAAAAGCTGGGGAGCGGAGACCGAGCATGGAGCAGGCGAGGCCTTTGTCGGTTTGTCGATGGGGTCAACACCAACGGCGTGCCCTGGCCCTGTTTATGTAAAAAAATAAAATAAAAAAAAAGCGGCCTGAACGCCAGGCCGAGACCGGCTGGTCACGTCTTTTCGATCAAATCACGATCTCGCAACCCCCGGTCAATATGAGAGAGAGAGAGGAACCTTGGTTTGCTCAAACCTGATCGGGCAAGTGTCGTGCCCTTTTACGCCCTTGGCACATTGCCCAGTGCCCCCCGTCATAAGTCACAACCCATCCTCGGCCTTTTGTCTCATGGCGGGTAAAAGGCCTCGTCCCATCCATTCTTTTTTTCTTGCTGCTCTTCAAGTGAAGGTGATACAACGACTCGTGGCAAAGCAAGCAAGCAAGCAAGCAAGCGTGCTGCAAGTGTCGGGCTTGTTCTTACATATGCCCCCCAAGCTGGACGCCCGAAAGGTGCCTCTCGGGGGCGAGGCGAGGTGTGCCTCTTTTACCATATTTTGATCACTAGCCCAAAGTCAAATGACCATTTTGAACCGGACCCCTGACGGCACTACCTTGCACCGCTGCAACAGGAGCTGGTCCAGCCAGACGCGGAGGCGCCCGTTCACAAGGATTCAAAAGAGAGGGAAAAAGCCAATTCGGCATCTGATCATCCTCGACCTCTCTCCTCACACGCTTTCGTGCTTATACTTCTGTACTACTGTAGGTGTCTCTCTGGTCCGACCTGCTGAATCAAGGGAACACCTTGTCCGACATTCCAACGGTCCAGTGGCCTTGCAACCCTGGCTGCATTTCTGCAGGGGGAGGGTTCCAAAGGGGGGATGGGAGGGGGAGAGTTGCCGCCCGGGTGGATTCTCTTGTCCATCTACCGAGTGACTTTGCGAATACATTACATAGAGAGCATCCCCCCTCGCCAACACTTTTCCGGAGTGTAGTCTTGGGGTTTTTATTCATATCGTGTCAGTGTGCGTGTCTAAGACACCAGCCCTCGCCTCTCACAACGGAGCGAGCCAAAGTTTGCCAAGCGACACAAACCAGGACGGAGATACCACTCACTATCCGCAAGGAACCCCGCAGACCACAAACCTGGGAGGGACCGCAAGGCGTAACTTTACTTTCAACCGTGGGCCAACTCTATTTCCAGCAGAATCTCGGAAAGGTTGGCTGTGATCTGGTTTTCCCACCCCTCTCCCCGTCAACGCTCTGTCACCAGGGAATGCAGTTCAAGATGGGCTACTCGAGGGCGCAGCAGGGCGCTGTCCCTCGAGGATTTGGGGGGCCGAGCAAGCCCTCTTCCAAGCATGTGGAGGGACAGCTTGATCCAGAGGATCTTACCCGTCGGTTGTTGCTGGTCCTGGCCGAGCAGGAAGAACATGAGAAACGAAGGCAGCGGAGGGCCGAGCAGCAGAGCCGTTATCGCCGGGAGCATCAGAGCAGCAGACATGGACAGTCACAGTCATCAAAAACACAAGCAGACCCCAGATGCTCAGACCACAGCAGACAAAGACCCTCCCAGGCCAACACCTCCACCTCCTCCCAGCACCCAGAACCCCGGTCGACAGACGATCACTATGTCCCCAAAGAAGCCGCCCGCCAGTTCACCCGCACCACCACCGTCGAGCAAATGCGCTCCAACGACTTCATCCACCAACTCTCCAAGCGAGCCCACAGATACCACAAAGGCTCCAACCGCGAGGGTGACCCCATCGCCTCCACCACCCCGGCCGACCTCGCCCGCCAACTCCGCCAGTCCCAAGCAGAGCGTGACCGTGCCTTGGAGTGGGAGCGTCAACAACGTCAACCTCCCCCTTCCGGGCCATCAACCTCCTCCCCTTCCTCCCAACAACAGTCCCACACCTTCAGAGCCGAATTGGCAAGGCTAAACACCAACCACAACCGCGTCTCCCTCACGGGTCATTACCCCTCTCACCAACCCAGAAGAAACAGCACCGGCGGCGCAGACCCCTTGTCAGCCGATACAACCCCAACCCAGCAGCCCACCAGCCGCCGCTCCATGCTCGTCCTCAACCCAACCCTTCCCGGAGGGGGAGGGGGAGGATCAGAGGACACCACAACCCCTACTTCCGAAGACCCGACCCCCCTCCAGCGTTTCCCTATCCACGCCCCAGAGCACAGGGTTGACTGGTCCCAGTCTGATGAACGCACTAAATCCACCGGGACATCCCGCCCCAGACTCATGTTGTCTCCCCTCCTGAAAAGGGCAGACTCGTTGTTCACGCTGAGGTCGTCAAAGGGTAAGGAGAAGGGTGGGAGCTCGAGCAGTGCTGGGTCGGGGTCGGGGTCGGTGGTGACGAGCCCGACTGGGGCTGGGGCGGGGGGGGAGAATGGGGGGGTGTTGAGTTCGGGATTGGGGACTATGCTGCCCAGTCCTACTAGGGCTGTTGGGGGTGGGGAGTTGCCTGCGCTGGAGGAGCTTTCACCCCCTCCTCCTCCTCCTCCTCCTCCTCCTGCTGCTGCTGGGGAGAAGGGGGCAAAGTCGCCTACTTCGGCGAAGAGTGCCACTAGTGGGAAGGGTTTCTTTGGGAGGTTTAAACGCTGAGAAGATCGCCGGCTCTTTTTACTGGGCTAGGGGTAGAGAGTGTGAAGGGTGGCTGAATAAAATTTTGGTCGAGGGTAGGCGAATGGTGTGGGTTGGTTGGTTGGATTTGTTTTTGGGGTGGTGTGCTGGAAAAAGAATGGAAAATATATATCATGGCACAGGGTGGTTGGTGATGATGGTCATGATTTTACACCAAACGTTGGTTTGGTATGTCTCTGGTTTGGCTTGTACTGGCTTGGTCTGGCTTGGTCTGGCTCGGAATGGTTGGCTGTACCCGTTTACTAGTAGCTGTTGATCAGTTAGTCTTTTCTGCTTTTGTTGCGAGGACGTGGTCTAGACTTCAAAAACGGCAGAGGATGGCGGGGGAGAGGGGGGCAAAGAGGGGGAGAAAAGAGCGGAAAAGCCGTAGATTAATGGTAATTGATATTATTTGATGTTTAAACTTTGATCATCCCCTGAACGCTCCCAGTGTGGTTCGCCCGCGGAAACGACGAGTTGCCTGCCTGTGCGCCTAGTCAGACTGTGCATGCCAGACGTGTTAAATGTAAGTTCACCTACCACGGGATAACCGGGGCTTTTTATGGCATCTTCTCTTCACCTCTCTGCATGCCTCGATGTGTTGATTAGACACATACCACCCTCGACATGACATCAACACATGACATGTAAATATTCTCCCACCCCCGATATTACATCTATACACACCTGGATATGTGCCCTTACCTTCCCCTTAAATTATATATATAAACCCACCCAGATCCTCTTATGCTTTTTCCTTACCCCTTATACCCCCAAAAAAAACCATGATGTAAACCAACCAAACACCCCCCTTATACAAATCACACCCCCTCCTCCTCCCTCAACAAGCCCTCCACAACCCTCCTCTCCTCCCTCCTAACCTCCTCACCAACCTCCTTAACCGCCCGTTCCGCCACCGGCCTCGGCCCCCCATCCCCATCCCCATCTCCATCCCCTTTCCCCTTTTCCTCCTCCCCCAAACTCAACAAATAAAGCACCGCATCACAAAACTCCCTCACCCCATCCCCCCTATCCGTCGGGTCCGTCCTCGCCTTCTTCAGCGCGCTCGCCCCCTTCCTCAACCCCACATCCTTTGACCAAGGCGGTTCTTTTCTTTTCCTGTTATTGTTCTGGAGGAAAGACGGTGTTGTTGTACTGGAAGATGGTGTTGGAGGGGGCAAAGTCTGGGAGTGGATCGAGTCGAGGACGAATGGGAGGGAGGGGTATTTCTTTACTAGGCGCTGGAAGACGTGGGCGTGGTCGAGGAGGATTTTGTAGGGGTCGTTGTTGGTTTGCTGAGAGGGATTCGGAGCGGTGGTTTGGGGGGTGGGTTGGGATGTTGGGGCGGGAGGGTCGGGGGGGTGGTTGGATTTGTGGGATTTGTGGCAGGGGATTGAGCAGCTGGAATAGAGAGTTAGTGTTGAGGTGGTGGGAACGGGAAAAGGAGACGTACTATGGCATTGCGCAGCCGGGGCGGGGGCATTTGTATTTGCCTGGTTGGGTGTTACATACGGCGCAGAGTTTTGGCGCTGGTTTTGGGGGCGGAGGGGGGTCATCATCTTCTTCTTTTTCTTCTTCTTTTTCTTCTTCTTTTTCTTCTTCTTTTTCTTCTTCTTTTCCTTCTTCTTCTTCTTCTTCTTCTTGTTCTTCTTGTTCTTCTTCGTCTGCGCCGAGGGTTGCTGGTGATGGTTCGGTTGGTGGTTGGGTTGTTGTTGCTGATGGTGATGGTGATGGTTGGGGGGAGGCGGTGGGTGCTGTCACTTCTGTGATCTTGGGGCCTTCGTTCAGACCTGGCGAGGCCATGCCGCCATCGTCTTGAGCCATGGTTGTGTGTTCAGTGCTGGCGCAAACTGTAGGTGAGGTTCGAGACGGAGCGCCAATCGGGTGGGAGAGCGTGGAAGTTGTAAGTTGAAGTCTGTGATTCGCCAGGTCGGCTGGGTTCGAGATCGGCGAGACGATTAGAACAATCCTTTCGAGAGTGAGATGTCTTGCGTCTTCGAGCAAGGTCCTTACACACTGGTGATTCGCTGAAGCTGAATGTTTGGGCGACCAATTGGCAACTGGTCGCGTTTTCTATCAACGGCGACCCACATGAAATTTAGAGGAACGGCTTTTCTAGACTGTGTGGATACTGTGCGGTAACTAGAGCTTCACTTACTGCGGTACACTGACTGGCACTGGGACCTCAACTAGTATCTAACAGACGGCATGCTATGATTATGTGTACGGAAGTCTCATAAAGGACGAGACAGACATGTACGTTTGGATGCTTTATTCACATTACCCTTCTCCAGATGTTGAAAGTCCAGATAAAGTGACAGGCAGGGTTCAAAATAAAGTGGGCCCAGCGCCGAGACCTATGACGCAGCAAATATTTTAGCGGATCAACTCAGAACAAACTGTTTTGTCAGCCATCCCGCCGCCGGGTCTCGTCCGGCAATCTTTCGGCCCCTCCATAATTTCAGACTTGACGACGAGACCAACCGAGCCCATCTTACTCTATCTCAACACAATCTATATTTCGCGCCCGTAGGGAATCAGCACACCATGCCATCAACCAAGCTCCTACGAGGCATCGCGCCTCTAGTAGCGCAACCCTCCTCGGCCGCCGCCCGCCGCCGAACAACCACATCCCTCCTCCGTCTCCGGCACCAACCACCATCACAACAACCTCCCCGCCGAGCAGCCCACACCACCACCTCCGGCCTCCGCCCCCGTCTCCAACCCCAATCATGGCACCCAACAACACCCTCTCCCCAGCAGCCTAAGCGCACCATCTTCATCCAAACCGAACCAACCCCCAATGCCAACTCCCTCAAATTCCTCCCCAACCACCCTGTCCTCCCCGAGTCCATCTCCACCCCCTTCGTAGAATACCTCTCCCCCCGCTCCACCATCTCCCCCCCATACCCTTCCCCCCTCGCCGCAAACCTCATGAACGTCGACGGCGTCACCTCGGTCTTTTACGGCCAAGACTTTATAACAGTCACCAAATCCGCCGACGCCGTCTGGGCCCACATTCGCCCCGAGATCTTCTCCCTCATCACCGAAGCCATCACCTCCGGCCAGCCCCTTGTCAACATCTCCCAGCAATCTGCCTCCTCCCCGTCCACAGCAGAGCAAGAGCAGGAATCCGGGGAAAGGGACAGTCTAGAATACGACGAAAACGACAGTGAAGTCGTTGGCATGATCAAGGAGCTCTTGGAAACGAGGATCCGCCCAGCGATTCAGGAAGATGGAGGGGATATCGAATTCAGGGGTTTCGAGAATGGCATCGTCATGTTGAAACTCAGGGGCGCGTGCAGGACTTGTGATTCGAGCACGGTTACGCTCAAGAATGGGATTGAGGGCATGTTGATGCATTATGTGAGTTTTTATGCTATTGGCACACTTTCCAGGAGCAATTGCTGACATGAGAACGCAAAAGATTGAGGAAGTTCAGGGCGTGGAACAGGTGCTTGACGAAGAGGAGGAAATCGCCATCAAGGAGTTTGCCAAGTTTGAGGAGAAGCTCAAGGCGCAAAAGGGAGCTGTTCCCGAGTCGAGTGGGAAGGGTGGGTTGGATAGTGTGCCTGGTTAAGATCTGGGAATGCAGGAAGTTATAGGTTGTATGAATAGGTGGTTTCAAAAAAGCTTATTGACCTAATGGTGTGGACGGGGGAGTCTTGTATGCTCGTGTAAAATGCTGGAAATAGAGATATCATGTATGCTGCTGAATATCATGTAGCAGAATTTAAATAAATGCCAAGCTGGTGGCTGTTATGCGGATCTAGATGTTATTTCACAAAGTAGCTCTGGAAGAGGTGGTCGAGGTAGTCGTTTCTTGCCCTCGGCAAAGTTCAGTGATGAGTATGGTTTGCCTCGAAGCCATTTACTGAGTTGTGACAGTTCTAATGAAGATTGATTGGCCCATCGAGTCCCGGGACCCTTTACGTTGATATCCCATTGAGCTATATACGTCGAGGTAACACACAGTGGCACTGAGCTGTGCATGTCAGCCCATCTATATCTACCTGCCCGCTTGTCAACAACAACAACAACAACAACAACAACAACATAGACAGGGCCCCGCATCCGTCCGTTTACGTCTTCCTACTTGCTTACTCTCGGCGTGACCGGCGGCGTGATTACCTGGCAGGTGAGTTACGCGGAGAATTGGAAGGCCGTGTGGTGTAATTGCCGTCAACGCAAACATGTCTTGCCCCGAATTGCAGCTGGAGAAATCACCAAAGGGAAGTGATCATCATCATCCCCAACCTCGTTACCCCAAAAAGAGAGAGCGTTGTATGTATGTAGTAGCACTGTGGCAGCATGTGTGGGTAGCAATATCGTGGCGTCGTCGAAACCTCCAGACCGGTGGGCAAAGCAACTTGCATAGATCTACCAAGAGGCAATAATGAAATCATCCCTCGGTGACGACGACCTCAAAGGGGATCGGTCGTCCTTCTCGATGCTTCGACTTGCATCAGGGCGTGAGCTCGCCTTTCCCAGCCGTTCAGGGAAGCATCTGGGAAATGTCGCGTGCAAAACACAAACAAAACCCATATTCTATTATGGCATGGCAGAAGCTTGCTGGTGAGACTTTCACAGCAACAAGTGACATCCAGATCGAACGAGAAATCCGGGGTAAAGCGACCCCCCCTCCCCTTTGAAAGGGCGGAAAACAAATCCAGGCCGGATCCCAGCAGAAACGATGCCCTGCTGTCAAAAGTGAACTTTTTAGCGGGGTAGTTTCTTTCTGATAAGAACTCGAACCGCCGTGGCGTCTCTCTCCCGCGGGGTCCCAGCTTTGTTCAACTGACGTCTGTGGTTCATCAATGGAGGGGTCGGGGTTGGTGGTGGCGACAGGGGGGTAGTAACCTAGGGGAAATTGAAATCTGGGGTTTCCCGCTCTCATCACCTCAACAGAGAAGAAGAAGCACACTCGAAGGGCCCGCCCCATTCGAGAAACAATTTAGGCTGATGAAAGTACAACCCCCAGCCGCGTCCCCTCAAGGGTAGGGGCTTGGGCCTTTTCCTCATGGTATGTATGTAGGTGAGGTATGCAATGCAGGGGCTTTGCTGATCGTCAGTTGACTTATGTCCTCTTGAAGGACTCTCTCCTGTTTGTGACTGAGATATGACGATTGTATCTTTTTGGGATCTCGATCGTCAGAGCTTCTAGGTCGTGGTTGGGGAGGCAAAAATGGCCATAGCTTCTTGCGCGAACTGCCCTCTGGCTTTTTGCTGGTGTTAAGAGTTGACCTTTGGGTGCGGGTTCAACGTCGAGCATGGGGTCCGCGTGATGTGTCTTGGTGGCCGTTAGACCCTCTTCGTCAAAATGGATGTTAGACAGCGACAGCGTAAGACACGAGAGAGACCTAGAGAGAGCGGGGCACTGGGGGCAGCCTTCTTCAACGAAGCCAATCCTTCCTCCGTGGGTTGCACAGCAGCATGCGGCATTCCTGCATCAAGACTTGTTGCTGGCCATAGGCCATACGCACATATTCGCGTGATTCGACGGGCATCCAGACCGCGGGAGAGAGAGGGAGAGAGAGAGCTGGGGTTGGTCAATGAGGCGATGGGGAAGCTGGATGAGAGGAAAAAAAGCTTGGAATCCCGGTGAAGCAGATTGAGGTCTCGTGAGTGGAAGGAACCACTGAGCTCGGTGAACCTCCCTTCCCTTGAGCTGCATCGACAGGGCCGTTTCGAGCCTGCTGCAGCAACGAGACAGAAAATCAATCATGCACTCGGGCGGCGCGAGAGAGCAATTGCATTTCCCGATCCTCCACTCACAGCCCATGCTGATGTTTATGTCAAGATATCTCAAGACAAGACGGTGAATCTTGAGAAGCAAGCAGAAAAGCTGACAGCGGGTGTCACCAGCACTGCCCATCCAACCTATATATCTCCACTGACTGAGGCGAGGCGATCATGATCTGAATCCCGACGAACAAGACTCGAGACGAAATTCCTGCAAAAGCGCCGCACACCAAGGACGGGACGGAGGGACCCCCCCTTTCCCTGCATTCCTCTAGTATATCAGACCTGTGCTATATCCAGCCAAACCGCCGTTGCATTACCGACGTCTTCCCCACATTTCGTCTACACATGTAGGTGAACTGACCATTACCTCCTCTCTGTCACCTAACCACTCCGGGGTCGGCAAGTTCAGAATTTTTCTAAGCCTTACGCTTAATAAATATCAAAATAGTAACGTACTGGTAAACTTTAAGATATTTATTTGTAATTTACTATTTAATTGAAGCTTCTTTAATTTTTTCATTTATATTTTTAAGGTTTATAAACTATAGTATTTATTTCCGAAATATATTTCAATTATTATTAAATACTTTATTAAAAAATAAAAATTAAATATTTTTATGATTTAAACTTTTAAATTTGAGAAAAAATAGTAACTTAAAAAAGCGGGATTAACTATTATATTTAGTAAGTTTTAATAGTGATGTTAATTATGCAATATATTTAATTGAAATATTTTAAGTTAATTGTATATTTTTTATATAAACTCTTTATTTTAATTTTAACTCTAAATATCCGTTGTTAAAATGGGTTCCCGTTAGGCTTATTTTACAGTAAGTTACTGCTGTAATATTTTGTAGCAGCAGCCCTAACAAAAGCGTTACACAAGGCAAAAGTATCTCATAGCATACCTATCCAGCACCCATCACATGCTCTTCTAGCACCCATTTGATACCTACTCCGCACTATTTAGTGCCTATCTAGTACCCATCTAGCGCTTACTTAATACTTCACAAAGTATCTACTCAGTAGAGCAGGCTACTGCAAAGCTCTGTATCTGCTGCTATAATAGATTAAAATAGCCTAAATTTTATATTTAGGCCATTTAAGGCCCTGTAAGTGCCTGGAACAACTTGCGGGCTAATCGACCTACAGTAACCTACACTTTCGATAGGCTAGTAACTAAATTTGCCCTGCTTTATATAGCCATAAGCACATATTCTTTTAACAAAACGCAGCTAAATTAAAGCTTGCTAAGCTGAACTCTAGTTTATCTGCCTATTGTAGTATACGAAGCACTGTGAGGCCCTTGGAGGTATACGATAAAAGTCGAGTATGAACCTTACTACAAAGTCAAAGTTGGTATATAGCAGACAAATCACTCTAACTACAGAAATTTACTCTCTATAACTCTATTGCTTAGCGTTGGAAGGCGCTGTAGCTATAAGCTTCAATAGTAAACTATAGATACTAGATATTAAGTCTTCCACTAATGCGAGCACTGTAAGTGCGTGTCTAAACAAAGCTTATAGCTCTGTATGAGACATAACCTTCAATAACTATATTGAGTCAGATTATAGAGTAAGTTACATTAAATTATTTAACGCTTAATTCTTTTTTAATAAATCGAAAATCTCAGTTTACCTACTCAGGAATGGCCAGGTAATAAAGACGGGTAATAGTTAGTTGACCCTAATCCACGAAGTCCAGTAGTTGATAAGGCGGCACAACCCCCCCCGCAATTTGTGTTCCCTGGGCATGGCGGGGAAAAAAAGAAAGAAACCCCATGAAAGAAACGCCTTGTCGGCCTTGACAGAGCTCGACACTGGGCTAACCTCTTTCGTCCAGACCAAACGCATCACTATCGGGAACCCTGATCGCCCAGAACCCCACTGCACTTTCTGAGTTGCCCTCACCACCACGGGACACTCTCGCCATACCTACTGCGTAGACGGAACATCTCTACCTTGGGTCGTTGTTTGTGGCATTGGTGGTATTCGGGTTGTCCGCGGGGAAAGGGGCGGGTAGGATCGAGGTTGAAGGTGCAGCAGGTACCACGTTAACAGACATTCTAGCGTCAACATCAAATTGTTTGACCCATGCTACCACCCCACCAAAAAAGAAAGAGAGCTCCCCGTTTCCACCCCATCTGGCTGCATCTTCCATGCATCTCTAGCCATTGAACACGGCCACGACCACAACCACAACCACAGCACAACATCAACACCGTCACCGGCCGGGCTTCCATCTCTTGGTGTCTGTCGAAACACTCCGCACTGGCTTGGTTGCTCCAATCGGGGACCTAGACCCTTCTAGCACCCAACCCTTGTCTCCCTCCCATCGTCTCTTGTCGTCCCTGTCTTGTCCCCTTCCCTGCCACTTGAGTTCATCACAATACCTACGTACCCACGGTATCTTCTATAATTCCTCTCTTCCGCGAGCTGGGATGCCCACCCAACAGTAGTCCATCGCGCAGTGGATAGTTCTTTGTCTCACGGGCGGTGCTGGGGCTTCGAGTTTCTTGACTGGAGCCACTAACAAAAGACTACGCCCGGCACGAGACCTCTTGAGCAATCTCTCAATTCCATTCCCGGAACCTGGGGGCAGGCATCATCGAGGGACTCTAAACTTAAATCCTACGGCGTTTTGCCACAGCATCATCTTCATTAACCAAACCACACACAACCTTTCGAGCCTTCAGGTCTCTCTCTCGTCTCTCCTGCGGTCTTCAGCGTGACTTGACCCTTCGGCTAGCCTGGCCAGGATCCAGCCACTAACGAGTAACGTGCCTTCCCCGCTCCCACACTTCAACCCTCCTAAAGCAGCTGCGGCAGCACGCTTACCTTGCCTGCACCCTCGCGCATCCATCCTTGAACAGGACACTCCCGACAGCCAGACAGCCAGCCAGCCAGCCAGACATCTTCATCACTCACACACTCTTGTCTCTCCTTTTCCCTTTCCCTGAGAGCCACCCCTTCCCGCCTTTCCGCCCTTCCTCCCCCCTTTTTTTTCTCTTCTCTTCTTCACCTACTCTCCCGCTGCTCGACGGCGGCGAAGACAAGACAAGACTGCTCGGCAATACGCGGCCCACTGCCCGGCCAGATACCCTCAACCCTTCCAGAGAGCTTCGCGCCTGCAATGGGAGGTCGCGTTTAGCGCTGCCGCACCCCTCCGCGAAGTCAGCGCATCGATAAAAAGTTCGACAGTTTTCATCGGAAAACTATAAACCCCGCAACAGTCCGTCGTCTCCATAGGACTCACTCACTAGGGCCGGTTTCATGAGGATTGGGTTTGGAGCCTCCGGTACTACGCTCCATCCGTTCGGCAAGAGTCCGGGATAGACCGTCTTTCATTCCTGTCTTCTGGGTCCCAAACGCCGCCCTCAGTTCCAGTTTGATATCGTCGGCCACGATACACAACCGTACGCTCTACTCTAGTTGACATTTCGTCCTTCACTTTTTCCATCATTGTGCTTTTTTCTTTGGTTTCAACTTTCTAGAGACTGCGACAAATACCCCCACATAGAGTTTCCCATCAGACTGTGTTGTGTAAGTGACCCCCTATTTTCTTGAAGTCTGGCGAGAGGCATACATCAGTTCATTGTGTATGCCCGACCAAGAGCGAGCTGCCAATGGGCTCATTCCGTGTTGCTCGTGGCTGGACTGTGTTCTCAAAGCTCCAGCTCGTCTCGTGTCAGCAGGCAGTTGATGTATGCCCAAATAAACAGGCACACAGTCGATGACAATCATCGCCCAAACTCCACTCTCCGGTCTTGTGCTGACTAGGCCTACAGCTGATTTCCTTCACGCGCCCTAGAGATATCCGATAAACGTCTTAGAGATCTGAGGTTTTTTGAGTTTTCATCACTAGTCGCCACTTGTTTAACGTCATCCGGCTAGTGCAGCGGGCAACTCGATCATCATTTGCCATCATCCACCTTGCTAGCCATAGTCAGGTGAATAGTTGGCTCAGCTCGACCGGCCCATTCTCAATTGACTTGAAATTCCAACCGACGACATTATGAGCTCCGGTGGAGGAAAGACGGGCCCTCCGCCCAAGCAGGGCCAGGGGCCCTTCTCAGGCGTTGCCCCCAGCAGCCAGGCGATACTGCTTGATAAACTGGGTCGGAGGTCGACGCCCGACTCCGAGGCTCTCGCCAGCTCTGACGATGAGCCCGAGGCCTTCCGCCAGGACAACATCCCGCCCACTGTTCAACCCCCGAAACCGATGCGTCGAGCTTCTTGGTTGAACGATACTACGCAGCAGCAACCGTTGCGCCAGAGAAAAGAGTCTTTTGCCAGTAGCTCAATGTCTCCGACAACCTCTCACCCGAGTACACCTGCCGCTGACCCAGGCGCTTCTGTCTGGGGAGCCTCTGCCGGAGTGCTTGGGAGAAACCATTCGGGGAGTGGCACGTTTACTTGGGGAAACACTGGTATCTGGAATACCGACCGAAAGGAACCTCCTTCGCGCTTGACTGAGGTGCTTCCCTCTCCGACTTCAGCAGCGCCCCCCGGAGGTACAGCAAGCTCCTTCTTTGGCAATGATTTCACACAAACCTCGCCCGGCCCTCGAGAGACACCCAACTCTCAGCTTCCGTTCCCGATTCCTCTGCACCCTACCCCGAAGACGTACCGATCCCAGTCGTATTCCGTAGGCCAGCTTGAGCCTTCTGAATCGGCCATGACCGCCGGTGTTCCTTCCACGATTGGTTCCCGAGTCCGGCCGATGGGCCATTCTGGCCTTCAGCACCGTCCTTCTCGGCCTAGCATGTTGAGCGAGATGGCAAACGATTCGTCGCTCGGAAAGGTGAACGAGGATGATGATGACGACAGTACCGGTTCCTTGCAGGGAAGCCAGCATCAGGAGCAGGCCAAGACGATCGAAATGCTCACCCGAGAGAACATGATGCTGCGGCAACAGCAGCAATTCCAGAACCAAGCACGGCTGAGACCTAGGGCCTCTACCTCATCCTGGGGGTTGGGCAATGGCTACTTTACACAGGAGCCAGTTCCAGAGGAATCCGACTACGCCGTTGATGAGCACGATGAAGCTAATGATGGCTCTGAGATGGCAGCCAGAAGGAGCCTTGCACGACGGATGAGCGAGTACGGACCGGGGACTCTTCGGACTCCCTACCTGATTGAAAACAGGAAGCTGGAGAATGTCAAGAAGGGCATCTGGCAGAGCTCACTTGGGTTCGGTGGTCTGGGAGAACCTCCTCAAAGCAGACGTCACTCTTTTGCCGATGTGCCGACCCGTCAGGCTTCCATCAGCTCGATCAGTGAAGCGGCGCTTGAGCAGGCATCTCAGGACCTTTCTCATTCGCAAGAGTTTCCGTCTGCGTATAATGACAATGCCAACTTCAATACCGGCAATCAAGGTAAGGCATATCGTTGGTCTCATATCAGATTCGGCTTGCTGACGTGCTCAACAGTCCCATCTTACTTCTTGTCTGGAAACGTCGCAAGTCCTGCACAGCAAGGTCTCGGACAGGTGGGACCGTATCACAACCAGTATGCATCTCCGTACGGCGGAATGCCTGGTGCGTACGCCAACAGGCCCATCTCACCGCATCGGGGCATGTACGGCGTGACGCAACCCCGGCATACCCAATCACTCTACATCGTCCTGTTCAAGTGCTCCAGAGCCGATGTTTTCTACATTCAGGAAGGCACCGGTCTCAGCGTCAAGCCTGGTGACCTGGTAATTGTCGAGGCTGATCGTGGTACGGATCTGGGCACCGTCGCCAAAGACAATGTAGACTGGCAGACGGCCAAGGAATACAAGGAGCATTATGCTGAGGAGCAGTACCGATGGCTCATGATGTACTCACAAAACGCCACCTCACAAGACGGGGCTGGTGCTGGTCTCATGGCCGCTTCCAACGGCCTCCAGGCCAGCGCTGTGGGCGGCATGGGCCCCCCGAGCCAGAATCATATGCAGGAGCCCAACTCGGGTGAGTTGAAACCAAAGCTTATCAGGCGGCTCGCGCAACCCTATGAGATTCAGGGACTGCGCGAGAAGGAGGGACAGGAGGCCAAGGCCAAGCGTGTTTGCCAGCAGAAAGTAAAAGAGCACGGCCTTAACATGGAGATTCTGGATGCAGAGTTTCAAGTGTAAGTCTCTACCTACTTTGAAGTGAGGCAAAACTTGTGACTAACAGCTGGACAGGGACTGGAAGAAGCTCACATTCTACTACTTTGCCGACTCATACATCAACTTCAACTCTCTCGTCACAGACCTTTTCAAAATCTACAAAACTCGCATCTGGATGTCGGCCATCAATCCGGCATCTTTCGCGAGCCCGTCCCTTGGTCTTCCGGCTCCGAGCGGTATTGGTCCTGGAGCGGTCGTGAACCGGGGCCTGGCGACTGCAGGAAGACGTCAGGACAACCAACAAGAAGGCCAGAACGCCTTCTCGGCGCCCGGTCAAGCCGATCGAGCTGTACGCCCGGCATTTACCATGCCGTTCGCCGAACGTGCAGTGGCTCCCAACCAGAACTACCCCGCAACAAACTTTCCATACAACCCCTATTCCGCCTTTGCGAACCCGGCTGCTCGTGCTGGAGCCATGCCGTACGCGCCCGGCTTGGTTCAGGGTGTGGATGCCTATGCGAACGCTTTTCCTCAAGGAGGCGACTTTGCCGGTCGCGGACGATTTCCACCACCCCAATCCACCACACCAGCAGCCCAGGATCAAGCAGTGCCGGCTCTGGGACCCCAGGCAGATTGGGTTGGCTCTTTCCAGGGACTCTCTCTCAACTCTCGCTAGGACGGTTTCGACGTTTGTGCTTTACAACAGCTACGCCTTTGTACTTGTATTTACTTGCTGCGTTTCGATTTCCCAGCGCGTTAAGATGACCTAAGACGACGAGACTTCGCTCATTTGGAACCGAGATACAGAAAAGAAAGACTAGGGCATGAAGAGATTTCTGGGACGGTCGATCCTTTTCATCACGAGGCACGAGGCTTATGGGACATGTCAACATTACATCATGGTTTGCCCGAGGGCGACCACTTGCTTTTTAAGGGGCGTTGGCGGGCGGTTGGTTTTGGTCAGGACATGTTCCGTATTGCCAAACAGCTGGCTTGGCCTGTTTTTATTTTCTCTTCTCTGAGATCTAATTTTCTTGAAACCTTTTGGCCAGACAAAGTCACTTACATTCTTTTTTTTTTTTTTTTTTTTTTTAAAAAAAAAACCCCCTTTTCAGTTATTTTTTCTTATTTTTCTCTTTGCTCAGACGTCGAGCCGTCGCTTTCTCCATTTGACGAACAGAAGACTTTGCCATAGACAGACAGAAAGGGGAGCTTCAACGGGGGAGCATTATGTAATCTGATACTACAAAACGGGAACTTTTTCGAACTTGGTTTAGGGATGGATCAACTGATATGGGCATTACAACAAAGATTTGCGATTTTCCTTTTTTCTGTTTTTTCTTGTTTTTTTCTTTCTTTTTTCTTTTTTGCTTTCGTTGCGGATTCACTTCTTTTAGTTGGCTCCTGGGGCCTAGTCTTTTCAGGTAGTTGGCGGCTTTTAATTGAGACTGTGCTGATTTTGATGAGAGTTGGTGTGTGATGCTTGAATGTGAAGTTTGACGAAAATGAATCTGATTTGTTTTCGTTTTCAAAACAGGAATGCCAATTGCCGTGCAGTCTGAAGAGCTGCCCCAAGTCCAGAGCCCCGAGCTATCAATCTCAAGTTTAAGAACGGTGGGTCTCCAGCATGCCAAGACGTGAAGTTGGGAGGTGGGGCAGGTGGAGCTTGGACCACACGCACGATTCCAGGATTGGTCTAGCGCCCTGCCCACTGTTAGGGCTTGCGGGTTTCCCTCACAATTGCAAAATTCTCGATTTTCTGGCAACCTTCGACTCCCGATCACGAACTCCCTTCCGTACTAACCACAGGAATCCGGTGAGTGCTGCCCCCCCTCCCTCCTCCCGCCACTGAGACGACGACAATTTCTTGCAGCTCTCTGCTCAGGAACATTTCAATTGCCTCATTTTTCATTCTGGCAACAAAACGCTGACCGGCGAGACTCTGCACAGGCAAAATGGGCGCCCTCAAGTACCTCGAAGAGCTCTCCAAGAAGAAGCAGAGCGATGTCGTTCGCTTCCTTCTCCGGGTTCGCTGCTGGGAGGTCAGTTAATATCCGATATCCGAGAGAACATGTGGACGGTTGGCATCGCAATGGGGTTTTTTTTTCGGGAAACCTCTGTTGCGATTGACCACCGCCCTTGCTATACACTCGTTGAACATTTGCTGAGAGTGCATCAATATAGCTCCGCCAGTTGAACGTCATCCACCGTGCTTCCCGCCCCAGCCGCCCCGACAAGGCCCGCCGCCTCGGCTACAAGGCCAAGCAGGGCTATGTCATCTACCGCGTGCGTGTCCGCCGTGGTGGTCGCAAGAAGCCCGTCCCCAAGGGTGCTACTTATGGTATGTTTTTGTCCGTTTTTTTTTAATAAAGAGGAACAGGAGCTGACCAACCCTTCACTTCACAGGCAAGCCCACCAACCAGGGTGTGAACCAGCTCAAGTACCAGCGCTCCCTCAAGGCCACCGCTGAGGAGCGTGTCGGCCGCCGTTGCGCCAACCTCCGCGTCCTCAACTCCTACTGGATCAACCAGGACTCCACCTACAAGTACTTCGAGGTCATCCTCGTCGACCCCCAGCACAAGGCCATCCGTCGCGATCCCCGCATCAACTGGATCGTCAACCCCGTGCACAAGCACCGCGAGTCCCGCGGCCTCACCGCCACCGGCAAGAAGTCCCGCGGTCTCAACAAGGGCCACCGCTACAACAAGACCAAGGCTGGCCGCAGAAAGACCTGGAAGCGCCACAACACCCTCTCCCTCTGGCGCTACAGGTAAATGCGCGGTCGTCGCTGACCGTGTCATTTTCAATGATGGCAGAGGAGATGATGATGGGGCTGGTTCGGCTCTGGTTCTCCTGTTTCGTGGCATTTCAGACGTGCTTTTTGGCATCGTTGACTGGGCGAGGTCTGGTACTCGTTTGAGGAACTCGGGAGCTATGCTATGGAGAATCTGGTCTTAGCTGAGCAGAGAGAAAAAGGAATGGACCAGTGTGCCGTGAAGGCTACACTCGATGATAATTTTGTCTGTCCATCAGGCGTTGTTTTATGAATGCATTGTGAATACCCTTGGAGTTTGGGATTGATTGCCTCTTATCCTTGTGCCGTCTTGCCAGGTGATGTGACTTTGGCTTTTTTGGAAGGGCATATCAGACCACTCCGTAGCTTGCTACTGTAGACTATGCTTTTGTTTGCCCGTTCCTCGAAGTGTAGCTGGCAGTTAAGTGCCTCGGAAGTGTCAACCCCATATCTCCCAACTTTATGTCGAAACATCGCCCCCTATGCACATGTGACATGCACTTTGATATCACAGGTTCCAAGCTCCCAGGATCAGCCTTTTAATGTCTCTCTGTTTCACTCACCGAGATTTTTTTCTCTCAGTGTCTAAATTGATTGTACAGTTTTGTTTTGATATCCCTTCTAATAAAACATTTTTATACACTTGGTTCATTATTCTCTTTTCCTGTCCCTTCTCCCCCCCTTTGTAAAACTATGAAGGAGGAGGAGCACTCGAGCTCGCCTCTGTGGCAGATGTGGATGTCTCTTCGACAACAGGGGCAGGAAGCTTCTTCCTCGGCCTCTTGAGGTCTTCGAGGGTGAGACCGTTTTCGAGCTTGGTGATGCCGACTACGGGGGGGTCGTTCTTGGTGATGATTTCGTACTGGCCGGGCAGCTTGTTGCCTGCCAGCCTGAAGGCGTCTCGGATGACCTGCTCGTGGAGGACGCCGCGGATCTCGAAGATGACCTGGTTGGCGGCCACGCGGGCGGCCCAGTGGTCGAAGGAGCCTTTTCCTTTGCCCATGCGCATCTATTTGGGGGGTGTTAGCATGGTTCTTGTTGAGCGGTGCTTTCTGGTGGTTGTTCTGGATGTTGATCCCATGATATCAACCCCCGTCGCATTAGGTGCAGCGCTTTTTGATGTGAACCCTTCCTCCTCATGACCCCAGATCTCTGCCTTTTTTGGTACCGTTTTTTTGGGTATCGACTCCATTTGACATGAAAACCCCCGGATCCCCCCTATACCACCTCCCCCCCTCCCCTCGTCCCCTCCCCTTCTGCCTCGTCCCCCATCCCTTACTACATTTGACTGACTTGTATGCCCGTGATTCTCCCGTGTTTCCACGAATAATCTCGCCTCCCTTGCACCATATTCCGTTAGACCACCCTGTGCATATTGCCCCCTGTCCTTATACTTGATTGGGTTCTTTCTTTATCTTTCATAGCTTGATGTCCTTATTTGTCTCCCGTTTCTTTTCTTTCTGTACTCCTTTTTTTTCTCATATCAATTTCTTTGCTATTTCATTTA